TAAATGTTATGGCTTGGGCGATGCCGTTCTGGCATGAGTCAAAGCAGAACTGTCACGAGCAAACAAAACTCAGATTAAAGTCAAAGAGGAATGTTTTTAGATAAAGCAGAGCCGCACAGCCTGGGAACTCCGTGGATGAGCTCCCCTTTAATGTGGGCATGAAATGTTTTGACACATGCACGAGATAAAATTCATTTCAACATTACGTTTTCTGTCAATTTGTGCCTGAAAGATAAGCAGAATGACAGAAACCAGGTTTTCATCCCATGGCCACCATGCACTCCAAAAGGATCTTTAGCTTTAGAGTAGATAAAATAATAGTACGAAGAGCCTTCATATAGAGGTGGCCTCAGGCTCATACTGCTCCCAGTACAGCTGGAGCTGCACTGAGCAAAGAGTTGACACAAAGTAGACATTCTTAGGATTTAATTTGGTCTTTTCCTCATTACACTTTCATGCTGATGAAAAGCTTTTTCTCCTCCCGGACGTCATTTGGATAAAACATCTTTTATTTTACTTCCTGTTACAGGAAAGCCTTTTACTACACTTTGCCCTTGAGGCCCACCCCTGTGATAGCTGTGAGTGTTCGGCGTGACACGGCTCAGCCCCATCCTGAGCCTCAGTCTGATTGAAACCTGTGAGGGCTGCGGCGCTGAATGAAGGGGAGGTTTCAGTCTGTGGCGGCGGCCTCAGGTACGTGTCCAGCATGAGGAACAGGCATCCTTTAATTGCTGGGCTGGAAATAGCCCGAGGTGGGCCGGGCGCTCGCCGGGCCGGGGCAGCGGGGAAAGGGACCGCCCTGACTTGTTAAATCACCACGCTGACCTTTGCCCTCGCTGCGGCCACTCTGTTGTGACGCGACTCCGCGCGAACACACTCCCATCGGGGGTGATTCATCGCGGACAGAGCTGTGGTAATAACAGAGATGACCCCAATCATCACAGGGGGAGAGAGAAAAGGGAAACTGAAGCCCAGCCTCTCACCAAGGCTACAAATTTATCATCTCCTCCCTGAAGAATGCCACTGAAGGCTGATCAGCCTCGGTTCAGATCAAAGGTGTGCATCACACACTAAAGGGCTGATCTGCGTAACCTCCGTCTGGTCAGAGAGGAGCGCTGAGGAAGATGAGAGATAGCAGCACAAAGCCCGGGATGAAGGATCAAAGGGAGAGCAGTGAGGGAGGAGGATGCTGAGGCAGGTGTCCCGATCCTTTTTCTCCTCCCACCACACGGAGAAGCCACCGGGCAGACTGGCAGGACGAGGACTCCCCGGTCAGAGCCAGTGAGTAAAACGCCAAACGTGCAGCGGAGCGTCGGCCGCACGCCGGCGCTGGACTGAGCACAATCTCAGCATGGATCTGGCGAAGGTCACTCGTCAAAGGTCACGCATTAGTCACCGAAATGTGAGCAGCGCCGAGACCCGGGAGCATGTCGAGATGCAGCGAGGAGAGGGCGGGGTCCCCCTCCCAGTCTGGGCGGGGGGGTGCTCAGCAGCTGGCTAAGCCTCATGAGAAACCCGGCTGTCTGCAGGCAGACTGGGCCCATTGGCTCAGGTTTGGACATCCTGAATGCCTGCATGGCGACGCGCC